TGAATTGGGGGGAAAAGGAAATGCCTTTGTGGCCCCCCCCCCCCCCCCGCCTCTCCCGCAGTTCGTCCCGCCTAACCAAAGGCACGACAAAGCGGCGAGCGTGCATGACCACGACCTACAGTGTCAGCGCGCCCCCGCTACCGCTACCAACTACCGCTGTTCCTGGCCCTGTCTCTTGTCGTCCTTGACGCTGTTCACCTTGCCGGCGGCTAGGTAAGCTTGCCCCTGAACTTTCTCGGGGCAGATGGCCTATTCGGCAAAAAAACACCGCGTGCGTCCGTCCGGACTTGCTGTAGGGACGCCAGGGTCTACCGAGCAACCCGACACCCGATGGGCCGACACAACAACAAAAAGTCATAACCAAGCACACATCCCCCAACTCTGCTCGCTGCTACGCCACCTCCGTGCGCGCGCCCCCCTCCCCCACCACCCACAACTAGTAGGACCTGTGCTATGTCTTGATAGAGATGGTAGCACAGTACAGGCAAACGCGCGTGTTTACCCTCAAGACACACAGCAGAACACAAGCAACACACGAGCGCACACGCCCTCAGCCGCCGACGCCGCCGCCGCGGCCTCGTCGCACCTGCACGGCCTCCGTGTGTCCGGTAGAGCCGCTGCAAACCTCTCCGTACGTGGGCTTCTCCACGGCGCCCTGCGTGTACCCCACCGACGTCGCCACCACCCCAGGCACGCGCTGGAAGGCCAGCTCCAGCCCCCTGTTAATATAAGTTGCAGTTTTCAAATGCAAGCGATTAATATTTCTCAGTTTTTGGTGACGAAAAAAAAGACTAGCGGAAAATCTTGCCTCGTCTAGTGTGTACCTAAAAACGATTGGAGGAAGAAGTACGGGGATGCCCTCTCTCGAACCCCCTTCTTGAGATTTACATACTCACAAAAAAAAGGCAGTAAAGCTCGTGCTCGCCAGTGCAGGCTGAGACTCCAATGCTGTTGGTGGGTACAGAGACTTGTGACTGCGAGCGTGACTAGTCGAACATATATGTGGGCTGTAGTGTGAGCATACTGAGGTGGAAATGAATGTGTGTGTGGTGTTGGAACGAAAATATTGTGCCCGTGTGTCTACGTTTCACCTCGAAGGCAGGTCTGGGCTCGTCAGCGCACGGCACTGGCCCGCTCGCAAGGAACCACAAATCTGACTTTTTCCCGAATGCCGGGCGCTAGCGGAGTGTATGCCGGTACCATGTAGCGGGGCACTCGGTGCTCTTTGTTGCTAGACGCTTTCGTCTGCTTCAAGACCCTCAGCGTGGCGTTTTCTGCAGCGACGTTCTCGTGTGTGGGGGGGGGGGGCGTGCTGCACACCGCAAGCACCTACCGCCAAAAAAATTACAAGCCTCTCACGATATATTCGACCACCAGCAACACGACTGGCAAAAATACAAAAATACGCCCCGAAGAAAACACAGTCAGTAGTCAATATGCCTCGAGAGGTTCCAACCTATATCGGGAGCCTCAGGTTAGTTACGGAGTCATCAAAAATCGCTCACCAGAAACATCCACCAGCGAACGTCGCGATGTCGTGCCCAGCTTCGCTCTTCGACGGCACCTGTTCAGCCAACAGCAAGAAGGGGTGAGGGATGCGGGGAGCGAGACATGGAGGTGGGTGAAAGGGAAGCGGGGACAGGCCATCACACCATGTACGGCAAGCACCACCGCAGGGGGGCGTCTCTCCGCTGGTGCGCCCGTAGATAATTAATCGAAAGGTGTGGTCAAGGCGTAGTGAAGCGATGGGATGGGCAAAACGCGACCCGTCTCTATTTAGCTGCTGCTCACTCTCCTCAACAGCAAATCGTTTTAATCTTGCAAAACCCGAACCAAAACATTTTTCTCCGCGTGCTCTGCTGCCTTCGCTGCCCCGGCTCCCCGTCTTTCCCGTCTTCTGCCAGGAAACAAGATGATATGCCTCCGAAGGCGTGCGCATCCTACTATTGTCTGTTGCTGGTGGTGGTGTTACTGCTCCTCACCTCCCCCTTGAGCGCCGCCCTAGCCGCCTCTTCCGCCCCGCCCTCCAGCTCCTCGTAGTCGACCTCCTTCTTCTTGAAAGGGTTGGAGAACAGCATCCCCATCGCGTCTCTGCTGCCGCGGCTGCCGTCAGCGCAGGCTGTCATACGTTCGTGACCGTTTTCGGGGTTTGGTCAGGGTGGTGTGCAGACATGAGACGCTTTCACGGCGCAAGAAGCACGTTTCCTTTGGGCCGAACCCAAACAACAGCCGGTCTCTGTTACAGCATCTGGAATGGTGTTTAGTGCGGTTCGAAAGCGCGCGCGCGAGAGAGAGAGCTCAGGCGGCGGGGCGGGGGGGGGGGCTAGGAGGTTGGGGTATACAGACTGAGATCGTGGGACAAAGGGATGGAGACAACGAGGACAGAAGCCGCGGGAATTCTGGATGCCTTGCCAGAGACCAGGAATCACGAGCGACACCGAACCCTCCTCGTAACGATATACTTTTAATACATTACATAAAAAATACTGTAAGGTGAGCAAACAGACGGAGAGATAGACGAGCTCATGGAGAAGAGGGCCGTAGCCGTGCATGCCGCAGTCATTAGACCATTGACCTCGCGGGGGCGGGGTCCATTATTGTAATACTTCCAATATTCTGCAGACAACCTTACTCGAAATATTCCACTGCCGTGTTGGCGAAAATTCGTTGACGAAAATCGTGTCTAGACTGGCTTTTCCCAGCATGATCGCGCTTGCTTGCTGCTCCCTCTCCTTCGAACCAATCTGCCCGCATGGGGTGCGGGGACACTACGACGTTGTGGCTCCTTGTACATATTTAGACTCCTTGGTGGCCGAGTTGGTACCATCCCTGTCGACCGAGCCTGTCCCGCCACCATGCCCACACCGCCGTAGGCACTCATTCAAGCACACCCCAAGGTGCTGGTGTGTCTGAAAGCGGGTCTTAAGTATGCATACAACCTTGCTACTTACCCACCACCCATTCGTTGATGTAATTCTTGCAGCATGAAACTGCTGTAGACTATGCACAGGACCGCTTGTTATTAGTGTCAAACATACTGAGTGCCTCGAGCCAGCTGTCTCTCAGGAGGGTTGTGTTGAAGTCTGCATGCAGCAGTACACTACACTAAAATAGTCAAGATTCAGCGAGCAGGATACTGGAAATATTTCCAGTGTATGCCGATGTGTTAGGGTTCAGTGATGCCCGCCGGACTAAGTGCTAGAAATCACCTGGTGGTGTTCTTGCAAGACTCTTTCAGCTCGTAAGCCGAGAGACCAAAGAAGAAGAAATTGCACCGAGATACATACTGCAACAAACCAGCCACAACGCGAACAACCTCAGTAGTACATACCCAGCACGCGCGAAACAAGCCACGCTACGAACACGACACCACAGTAGAGCTGGCTATGCAAATGTGCATCTGTTCCTGTCGGCACAACAGCAGTGACACCTCCAAGACTCACTGAAAGCGGCGACGGGCGACGATCTCGGTGCAACCGCCGCGGGCAGCGCCTTGCCGGCGAAGCTGCTCGCGCCTGCTGCCGACGACGGCCGCAGGCGGCCTAGCACAGCGAAGGCGCTCACCCCGTTTCGTCCGCGCGTGCTCGCGGCGAGCGCTGGGAGGGGGAGAGAGGGGGAGGAGGGGGGGGGGAGGCATGATCAACGTGTCGTCTTTAGGATAGGACGTTTACATGTCATCAAGAGAAGGGACCCGCCTACTTCAAGAGGAGGTGGCGTGGTTACCCAGAGAGAGGCACATGATGATGCAGCGGGTGTGTGTGTGTCTCGTCGTGTCATCGTGTCAGGTCATCAACAGGCACACACCCAAAGATACACCGCCGCCGTACTGACTCTGTCGCTCGGTATTTTTCCCGTTCCATCGTTCGTGGTTACCAAAGGAGGGCATGGCACGTAGTCGGCGCAACCCTCACCAACATGCCCTCTCGCGACTCTCTCTTACTCTCACTGCCAGGCTACAAATGCAAAGGCGTGTGCCGATGTGCTGACGCGAGACACATATTCCACCGCCTGGTGCGGCTTGTGTTGTTGTTGCTGACCAAAGACCAAAACGCCTTGTGTGGTGAGAGACAAGAGCTAGGAGTTCACCTGCCGAAATCATGAAAGCCCTACTTATCATCTTCATGTCCCTGCTGGGAAGTGTGTGCCCACGGATGGATCTGTTTCCACGTGACGAGGAAAAGGGGAGCGTTTTGTGGTGTGGTGCATGCGAACTGCTGTGCGGTGGAATCCTCCCAACCCCTTCTGTCCCGGTCACATGCGGCCGGCTCTATTCCGCGGAGCCCCCGAGATGATGAACACACAAGAGGGCTCGCGGAGCCGAATCCTGGAAGCACGACTACCCCCCCCCCCCCCCCTTTTCCCCCCTT